CTATACTGAAGGCTGCAGTCCTTGACCCTCTGCAGTAAGTGCATGGGGTCCTCCTCAGTTTCGGCAAGCAGGGCTGTGTCATCTGCATAACGCAGATTGTTAATAGATCTTTCACCAATCCTGACACCACACTTCTCCTTATAGAGCCCACCGTCTCGGATAATCTGCTCTGCATACAGGCTGAAAAAGTATGGAGATAGGACACATCCCTGGCGTACATCCTTCCCAATTTTGAACCATGCGGTGTTACCCTGCTCTGTTCTGTCAGCTACCTCTTGGTCCAAGTATAGGTTTCGCATTAGCACAATTAAATGTTCTGGGATTCCCATTCTTCTCAGAGTCAGCCACATTTTGAGACACAGTATAGTGTGGATAAAATACTTATCTGTGTAAAGAAATAATACTGTGTAAGTATCAGGCTTAGTGTCTGAGTATTCACAGAACTCATTGAATTGGGACCAACTCAAGGCTGACCCTCCTGTGGTTTTCAGAAGCTGTAAATTGCACAGGAAGAGATGGTCCATTTTTCTCCTCCAGAGCCACTGGTCGATTCCATCCACCAGAGACACTGCTTTTGGGTAAACAGGGTACCTCCGACAGACTGCTCTGTCAGAGCTCACTGTATTAAATCTAAGATTATGGTACACAGAAGCTGAATGGAGACATGCCTTCATTATCTAGTGCTGCTTAAACGGAGAGATCACGAGTGAGTGGCTTTAACAAACAAACATTTGTTTTCTCAGTTTAGGAGACTTGAGGTCCAAATTCAGGCTACTGTCTCTAGGGGAAGACTTCTTTCCTCTCTCCGTCTGCTCTGGAGGAAGGTCCTTATCTCTTTTAGCTCCTGCTCCTGGGTGATCTTCATGTGGCTTGGTGTCTCTCATCTCCCATGTCTATTTTCCCACTTGTCTCTCTTAATTCCTTTCATGTCTCAAAAAGATGAACTAAAGTCACCCTCTTTACTAATTGACACAACAAAGATGGCCTCTTCCCAAATGAGATAATAACTACAGGCATAGAGGTTAGGGTAGTAGCACATAATTCTGTGGGGGAGTCACAATAAGGGACTGAATAAAAAATGTTTTTTTCTTTGCTACTCAGCTCACAGGACTCCAGTTCTGTCTAAATATTAGGCTTCTGCTATCTAACACAGGAGCCCTGCTAGTGCAATGTTTAAATGATGTCAGTGCTCAGGTGTTAACCAAAAAGTCAACATTTTGAGCCTGGTAGCCATTCCTTAGGAGAAAGATAGAACCACATGCATGCTTCAGTGAGGATTACGGCCTTAGAAACCCTACGGGGAGATTCTCCTCTGTCCTGTAGGATCACTGTGAGTTGGAACTGACTTGACAACAATAGTCTTGGGATTTTTAGAAAATTTATTACCATTTTGACATCTTAACATAAAATTGTCTTTAAAACTCATTAACTACCAAAACCAAACCACCCCCTTGAGTCAGTCCACTCTCATGGCTTCCAGCATCAATAGCAGTAGGTAATCCACCATAGTACACAAATTGACAGATGCTCTGTGGCTCAAACATATAACCCTTTATAACCCTTTCCTTACCCCCTTATCTAGCTCTCTCTCCCGACCTCAGTTCTTTAACTCTTATCATGGGTTGCCCAGATTCCCAAGTTCAAAGACTACCACCTCCTCTTTGAATATCTGTTATTTATTTTCTCTTACACCTGTATTACACCTCTCCACTCCCACTCAGACTGTAATAAGTACATGCTGTATTTCCTGCCGCAGCTCACTGCTCCTCATTTTGAGCCTCTTTAATCCATTTATACCAGATGACCCCTTCCCAGTTACTGGGCCATGGAAATGTTATTTGTGGAGCATCTATTCATAACTTAGAGGATCTGTTTCACTAAGTCCCCACAGGGAAATACTTCTTCAAGCATCTCTGTGTTTCTGCATTGTATTAGCCCTTCAGTGTTCAGCTATTAACTGAAAGGTTAGTGGTTCGGATTCATCCAGAGATATGTCACAGGAGAAATCAGTTCTGATTTTGGAAGATCACGACCATTGAAACCCTGTAGAACACAGTTCTACTCTGAAAACTTTGGGTTCACCAAGAGTTTTGGAGTCCTGGTGGCCTCGTTTGTTGTGCAGCTAACCCAAAGGTGTCCCATTTAGGGTAGTTCAAACCATCCACCAGTGGCTCCACAAAAGAAAGATGGAGGCTCCTCCCATGGGATTTGCAGCCTCTGTGGACTCCCCGGAGGGTCAGTGACGAGTTGCTCCTGGCTCTTCAACAATGAGATTGAGGTTTTGAGGTGAGTTTGGCTTTATGCCTTGTGCATTCGTATCTCCACTTCTTGGTTCATGCTGTTTATCTTCCCCACTTTTTCGTCTGGTGGAGCGGCCTTGCTTTTTCTTCACTAATTTGGAAATCTTTGTCTCTTAATGGAACTCCTTTTTTGGTCAGGGAAGGTACAGTTCAGCATTTCCCCATTTTATTTGTCTTCTTTCATCATCATGTGAAAGAGTTGTGCTTATTTATTTGTTGTTTGTTTATTGCGATCCTTACTTCTGAGCTCCATAATAGCAGAGCCTTGTCTGTTTCCCACAGTGCTGAGCTCCAGGATGGCAGATTGGCACCTCTCTGGTAGGTTGAATCCACTGGTTCCTCCATGAGAGAAAGATAGGCAGTCTCCTGCCGTGTGATTTACAGCCTCTAAAAATCCACTGTAGGGTCAGCTGCCAGTCAGTTCCAACTCGAAGGTGTACAGTAAAAAGAAAATGTTGTTTAAGGTAGAGAGTATGTAGCAAACATTTGTGGAGTGAATGTTTTACTATCTGTCTTCCTTACTGGATTGTGAGTTACTGTGCAGGACAGGTCTTTGTGCATGTCTGAAATTAGATCTCCGGCTGGAACCAGGGCCTGTACCTGCCTTTATATGGGGGGCTGTGACTCAGGGGTGCCTTGATGGGACTGAGCCTCAGGGGCCTTAATTTCAACCACTCTCTCATTGAATTTGCTTTGACTGGAAATCCTATTGCCTCTTTTAAAAATGTATTCCCTTGGGCTCTTTTGAATACTTGAGGCCTCTTGGCAAGCATGCATTTCTTCCCCATCAGGACATCTCATCAAAATGATATTAGGTTTGTACCTCAGGAAAATAATGATCCACCAGGAATGGCTTTGGATGTAAGCAGCTAAGTGCTTTCAAAAGACATTTGAACTACATCTTAGATGTTGGGACAAGAGCAGGTGAACATCTCCCAAAAAAAACCCCAGTAAAACAAAACAAAAAAAAAATGGAGGATAGGAAAGAGACCCTTACAAGAAATGTCTCAGACTATGGCCAGAGCTGAATTCAGGCAGAACCCAGCACCATTTTTGATAAGAGGCTTGCACTTCTGAGCTGTAAGCGGTAACTAGGTACATCGGTTAGGTGATTTCTTGTACTTGCATGGAGAGTTCCATATTTTTTAATCCAAACTCTTCCACGTCCCACTTTGTAACTACTTGGTAAAGGACAAAATTACAAGAATATTTTTTAAAAAATTATAGTAAAGTAGAACAAAAATTTACTATTTTAACTATTGCTAAATGTATAAATCAGTAACATTAATCACATCCAAAATGCTATGCAGCTACTTAAAGCCGTTTGCACCCAAGTGGGCTTGCCCTAAGGGTGACATGTGTGTCTCAGAGGAACTGTGCCCTGCCTGGTTTTTTGGAAGCAGGCCACAGGACTTTTTCTGAGCCCGTCTGGGCAGACTTGAACCTCTAGCCTTTTGGTTAGTAGTGAAACATGTTAACTATTATTTATACTATCCAGTGCAACCCTTATCATCATATAGTTCCCATTTCCCCCTGCCCCTCCATCTTCCTAACACAGAAATTCTCCCTTTCTCCCTGTTGCCAGCCTCTGGGAAATTCCTAATAAACTTTAGTCATTATGCATTTGCCTATACTAGATATTTCATATAAGTGGAATCATACATATAATATTTGTCCTTTTGGTGTCTGACTTATTTCACGTATCCTAATGTTTTGTTTTGTGGGTTTTATTTTTACTTTTATATATATATATATATATTGGTTTACTTACAAGGTTCGTATACATTGTGTTTCACACTATTATTCATTCCTATTGTGTTTTGTACAATCATTCTCAAGCATTATGTTTTATAAAATCAATCACCATTGGACTTTGCCCATCATTATTACCCTACCTTTTCAGATCCCTGCCGGATCCTTCCCATTTCCTTCACTCCCTTCCTCCATGCACCAAACTGTGCATCCCTGTGGTTTTACCCCTACACATCCTCACCCCTCTGCTCCCACCCCTTCCCACCTGGTCTCCATACATGTTTTACTAGTTATCCTTCTATTTTTATAATAATGGTCTTATACAGTTTTTGTCCTTATGAGACTGAGTTAGTTCCCTCAGCATAATGCTCTCCAGTCTCTTCAAAGTTATATAGTATTTTTAAAGAGGTATCATGAATTTCTTCAATCAGAACTTCATTTCTGTCTATGACTGTATTATTGTATTATTTACATTGTGCATGTACACCACATTTTATTTATCTGTCTCCTGGTAGATTTTCAGGTTGCTACCACCTTGAGGCTATTGTGAATAGTATTGTAACAAACATTGGTGTGTAAGTAGAAATATTTTCAAATTCTTAACATCTCCCAAGCATTGTCTTTGTGAGTTAGTCTAGACTTGTGTTGACTTCTTCCTATCCTACTATTAGGAGAGATCAATAAATGGTTTTCCTTTTGTAGAAGATGGGTCTTTTAAGCTTCTTCTTCATCCTAGGTTCCTTGTCAAGTCTTCATAATTCATGCTCTCTCCCAGGCCTTTCACCATTGATGCTGCAATGTGGTATCAGGGATTCTAGAAAGATGACTGTGAAAAAGGCTGATTGGGGTTGGCATCAAAGTGATAGTAATGAAGCTTCAGCTAAGCCTGTGTCCTTTGTCTCCCTGACCCTCAAGGCCTTATCTGGTCTCTCTTGTCTGTCTTTTCAGAGGTGTGAACATGTATGCCATGCTGACGGGGACCCTGCCTTTCACAGTGGAGCCTTTTAGCTTGAGAGCTTTGTACCAGAAGATGGTGGACAAAGAAATGAACCCCCTCCCCACCCAGCTCTCCACAGGTAACTCTCCTGCCTCTATCTTTCTTTTGCAGCATGGTATTATGACTCTACTTGATTCATGGGGTTGCGTGCATTCAAGCCCTTCCTTAGCAACAAGAGTTAAAACAAGAGGATGTAGTGGATTTCTGTAGAATTCTTGCCTTCCATGCAGGAGACCCAAGTTCAATTCCAATCACTGTGCCATATGTGTAGTCTGTTCACAGAGGCCTGTGTGATGTTATGATGTAGAACACATTTCAGCAGAGCTTCCAGATTAAAGCAGACTAAAAAGAAAGGCCCTGTGTCTTGGTTAGCTAGTGCTCTGGAATCAGAAATACCACAAGGGATTGGCTAAAACAAACAGAAATTTATTTTTTCACAGATTAGGAGGCTAAGAGTACAAATTCAGAGTGCTGGCTGTAGGGGGAATCCCTCTCTCTGTTGACTTTGAGGAAAGGTCCTTATTCCTTGACACCTTGGTGATTTTCATGTGACTTGGCATGTGTCTTCTTTCATCTTTGCTTCCTCTCTAAAGAAAGATTGATTTAAGACACACCATACACCTATCCAGATGCAGCCCTGGTTGCATTCACCAGTAATCTATGCCAGGAAATTTGGAGGCCAGCTGTCTGGCTGACTAACTAGAAGAGATTAAGATTTGTTCCCATTCTCAAGAAAATTAATCCAACAGAATATAGAAACTATTGAACAATATCATTCATATCACATGCAGCAAAATACTACTGAAGATCATTCAAATACGGCTAGAAAGTACATAAATAGGGGAGTGCCAGAAGTTCCAGCTGGACTTAGAAGAGGCCGTAGCACCAGGGATATCATTGCTGATGTCAAGAGGATCCTGGCTGAAAGTAAAGACTATCAGAAGAATGTCTTTTTTTACTGACTGTGCAAAGGCATTTGAATGTGTGGATCATAACAATGGCTAACATTTAGGAGAATGGGAGTCCCAGAGCACTTAATCATGTTCATGTGAAATCTATTCCTAGACCCAGAGGCTATTGTACAGAGCAAAGAAACGCTTGTTATTGTTGATTACCATTGAGTCAAGCACAACTCTTAGCAACCCTATGAACAAAAGGCCTGACGCCTTTCTATAACTATTGTCATTTATCAAAGTTCATAGAATATCTATATGGTTTAAAATTAAGAAAGGTATATGTCAAGAAAGATTGCATCCTATCTCCATATCTGTTTAATCTGTATGCTGAGCAAATTATTTGAAAAGCTAGACTCTTGATGAGGAATATGGTATTAAGATCAGAGGACGACTCGTCAACAACCTGTGTTATTGCTTGCTGAACAACCGTGCTTGCTGAAAGTGAGAACTTGAAGCACTTGTTGAATCCAATATGGATTGCATCTCAACATCGAGAAAATGATTCTTACCTCTAGACCAATAGGCAACATCATGATAGATGGAGGAAAAAAATCAAGTTGTCAATGATTTCATCTTACTTGGATCTGAAGTCAAACTCTTGGTACTAGCAGTCAGGAAATAACATATTGTACCGGGAAGGTCTGTGTCAGGGACTTCTTCAAATTATTGAGGAGCAATAATACCAATTTTTGGATTAAGGTCTGCGTGATTCAAGACATGATTTTTCCAGTCACTTGCTATGTGTCAGAGAGCTGGAAACAAACAAGTATCACAGAAGCAGAATTGATGCATTTAAGCTGTGCTGTAGGAGAGGAGTCCTGAATATCCTGTGGACTGCCAAAAGATAAATTTGTCTTTGAGAAAGTGCAGCCAGAGTGATCCTTGGAGCCAAAGATGATAAAGTTTCACCTCGCATACTGGGCATGTTGCTAGAAGAGGTTATTCCTTAGAGACAGACATCATGCTTGGAAAGGCGGAGGGTCAGCAAAGGAAAGGAAGACCCTCAACCAAATGGATTGACACGGTGACTGTCGCAGTGGACTCTAGTTTATCAGAAAGTGTGGGGTGGCACACGATAGGACAAGGTTCAGAACTGTTGTTCATAGAATCACTGTGGGTTGTATTCCACTTGATGGCACCTAACAACAATATGAGATACACTTACCCTATACCTTTAATAGAACATAGACAAGCCATTCCCAAATAGGATTATAAACACAAGGTAAGATTTATAACACATATTTGGGGGTGGGGGAAATAATTTAATCTACAGCACCTGGCAGTGTTCTTAAAATCAGGCTGTGAAAACCCTCTGGACCATTAAATAGTCTTATCCACAGTCCGTCTTAGGCATGGCCTAGTACCTGGCAGTGCTGTGCTGGGAGTGGTCATAAACTGGGGCTGACTCAAAGGCAGGTGTCAACGCCTTAAAAATTAATGTCAAGAAGGGGGTTGATTTTTACTCCACTCTCTCTACTTGCCTTTGAGGCAGAACTGACTTATAACTGACCGTCCATTGAGTTTCCAAGGCTGTAAATCACACAGGAGGAAATTACCAGTGATCAATTCAAATCTCCAGAGAGGCATGGCCTCTAGACTGCTGGGGGACTAGGTCACCTGAGCTCCATCTTTAAACAGCTGCTTCCTTTAATTGGCCTTAGATTTCTTTTCTGTTATGATTCTGAAACCCTCATTTCCTCCTTCCTCCTCCTGCACACTGCTCCCCTAAGACACACATCACAAAAGGATATTGTAATAGAATTGAGAATCCAGAAATCAGCCCATCTACCTGTGGTCAACTGATTTTTGACAAGGAGATGAAATCAGTTAAGTGGGGAAATGACAGCCTTTTTAACAAATGGTGCTGGCAAAATTGGAAAGCTGTATGCAGAAGACTCAAACAAGATCCGCACCTCACTCCATATACAAAAACCAACTCAAGGTGGATCATGGACCTAGGTCTAAAACCAAGGACTTTAAACTTCATTCAAGAAAAGCTTGGAAGAACTTTAGTGGTCCTAATCCACAACATAAAAAGGCTTCCAAGTATCCTGAAAAATCTACAACCAGGAGAAGATAAAATAGATGAATGGGACCTTCTAAGAATCAAATCCCTATGCACCTCCAAAAACCTTTTCCAATAGAGTAAAAAGGGAAGCCACAGACTGCGAAAAAGTATTTGGTAATGACATGTCAGATAAGGGACTTATATCCGGAATTTATAAAATACTTGAACATCACAAGAAGATAAAAGTAAATAATCCAATTGAGAAATGGGCACAGGATATGAACAGACACTTCACCGAAGAAGACATTCAGATGGCCAACAAGCACATGAAGAAATGTTCAAAGTCCCTAGCTCTAAGAGAGATGCAAATCAAAACAACTATGAGATATCATCTCACCCCAGTAAGAATAGCAAAATTTAGCAGAACAGCAAGCAACAAATGCTGGCGAGGATGTGGAGAAACTGGAACTCTTATTCACAGTGGATGGGAGTATAAGATGGTGCAACCATTGTGGAAGGCGGTGTGGCGCTTTCTCAAAAAATTGCAAATAGAGATACCATTTGACCCAGCAATCCCATTACTGGGAATATACCCCAGAGAGACCATGTCTGCCATCCAAGCAGATATAAGCACACCCATGTTTATCACAACTTTGTTTATAATAGCAAGAGTTGGAAGCAACCTAAGGGCCCATCAGCAAACGAATGGATAGAGAAGCTGTGGTATATTCACACAATGGAATACTACGCCGCATTGAAAAACAAGGAACTCATACAATATTATTCAAAATGGGTGACTCTGGAGGACATTATGCTAAGTGAAATATCTCAGTCACAAAGGGACAAATAGTGCATGGTGCCACTGTTGTAGAATGGGTCTGACATCAGGGTTGGGGTATGACAGAAAAAACTGGATAAATTATGTATATTATATTGAAACAGATGAGGGAAAGAACAGATTAGATATATGATTGAGTATTATGGTTAGCACAGCAATCCAGAATTAAGGTTGCATAGAGAAGTGTACTCAGGGTGGGGGCTGAGGGGGAAGGGATGGGGGAGTTGCATAATAATGAAGGAATTTTTTTTTTCTTTTTCTTTTCGGAGAGGGGAGTGAACTGGTGGGGAGGGGTGGGAAGGGAGAAAAGTGCGGCAATGAATGAATGGAAATCCAAAACCTCTGTAAATGTCTATTAAAATTAATTAAAAATGGATATTCTATTCCCTATATGAAAAAATAATAGTACCCATCATTGTTTAAAACTCACCATAATGTAATGCTGACTTTGCAAAGAGCGTCTTTATAACCACAGTTCCGTTATATCATCTTTAGTCAACTCAGTGTAAAGAAATACTAGTTTAAGGTGGGCCTGTGATTTGTTATTTGAGGTTTTGAGCCTGTTCAAAAGCTTTTACGTATGCACATATATAGGTTTGGTCACATGATTAAACAGAATCATCAAGTGTGTTTGAAAAATATTCCCGAACTTAAGCTTATTCACATTTCATTAAATAGTTTGCATTAAGATTTGATTTCAGACTTATTAATGCAGTCTGTGTGTGGGGGGGGCGAATGCTGTGGTCAATAAGCAGCATTCAGCTGCTAACTAAAAGGTTAGTAGTTTGAGCCCACCAGCTGCCCCTCAGGAGGAAGATATGAAAATCTGCTTTGTTTAGCAGCAAAGTGACTTAACCACAGTGCCACTAGTGCTCTTTTTTCCCCCCATAAAGGTTATAGCTTTGGAAATCTTATGGAGCCATTATTCTTATGTAGAATTGTTATGTGGCTATAATGTTCTTAATAGCCGTGTGTGAGTGCCCAACATTTAATGCTAGCACCTTTTTTCTTTTAGACCTCTAAGATGGGAGCCATGATCTCATTTGATGACAAATAATATTTAATGTTTGCAAATAATTGTAATCTTTTCAAACAGTCTCCTACATTGCTCCTATATTGCTGTTCTTGTGTACCATTGGTTAACTCATAGCTGAACTTCCAGCAGGTGTTCAGAAGCAGTATATCTCCCACAGAGCAGCTGGTAGATTTGAACCATGTGCCTTTGGGTGAGCAGTGCTGTGCCTTTCAACTGGGCCACTAGAGCTCCCTAATGGGTT